ACCATATATCAATCGCTTAGTAAAAATCAAACGTCACATAATCAATTATTCAACTGATAACCACTCGTAATATGACTTAACCTCTCAACATTTACCCCAACATTCCTTTGTACTAAACCTTTATGCCTTGTAACTTTCTCGTTTGGCGAGATCATCGAATAAATATGACAACTAAAAGGGTGTTTAAGGATGCCTAATCGTCTTTGAGAGTATTTTGACTTAGTATTTATATCATACTAGAAGGGTACTCGTGCAATGCAGGAAGATACATCTCGATTTTGATGTTCTATTTTATTCTCTGTCTCTGTCGATGTTATAATACGATTTTATATGTTTTAAGAAAGCAATAACTTGATTTTGTTTTTGAATAAAATATAAATTTAAAGATATCATAAAAATTTTAAAAAATATATATCAATGTTAATATCAAATCAACTATTTAAAAGTTATCATTTTTATGTAATTTTTTAATTTATTTTTTTATTATAATTTAATTTAATTTTAATAATGAAATAATTTATTTTTGGTTTTGATAATATAACATTTTATAAAAATAATAATTTAGTATTCTGTTAGAACTCAATTATTATCTTAATTATATTTTAAATTTTTTATATTTAAAATGAGATGTTTATCCTGTATTTGATTATGTCTATTTGCAGTTAGTTACACGAATTTATATATGAAACTTTAATAAGTTGTACTTATGCATAGTCTACTTGTAATATTGAGTTTTAAGTAACATGCATTAATAAACATACTTTATGCATAAAAAATGGTTTTTAAGAGTTTTTGTCAAATGTTTTATAATATAGTATAGATAACAAATTGTGTGTCATATATAAAAGCGTTATAATAAGTTGTTAGGACGAAGTTAGACGATCTAACAAGTTTTATCAATGAAATCAGATAACCTAATGAGATTCAAAAAGTAAATCGTCATATTAACCTTAATACATTTTGAAAATCGTCCTATTAGTCTTTTTACGCAACCTGTCATACATGACACTTTAAAAAAACGTCTTATAAAAACCATTAGACGATTTATTTTTTGTGTCAAGTTAGGTTGCTCGATTTTTGTCGCTAAAACTTTTTAGGTCATCTAACTTTGTCTAAACAACATACTACAACACATTTACATACGATGCATAGTTTTCGGTTCTATAAACATAATTAAGTCCCATTAAGTCCTCTATTAAGACATCAAAACGACTGAACCACCTAAAAAAACTCGTTACTTATAATAGTGTTATAAATGGTATATTAATTATAAAGTTTTCATCCATGTGATTTATTATTTTATTTATTAATTTTATTTATTATTAAATTTTGGTGGCCCTATGTAAAAAACATAAAATATGATATTATATCTTTTAGTTATTTTATTTATTAATTTTTTATTATTAAATTAATAACAAATTCTTTTATATTAGAATATAAACAAGATACAAATAAAAATCAAATCTAAATTAGGGGTCGTTTACCAAACATTTACCCGGTAAGCGCTTATCGGTAAAATTTAACACTATCATTTACTTACCAGGTAAGATTTTAGTCCACCAAAACGACATCATATGCAACAATTTACCTGGTAAGCGCTTACCGTGGTAAAAGCCGTCACCCTCACTTACCGGGTATGACTCTTGGTCCTTGTGTCACTCTTATCGGCTAAGATTGTTATCATATTTATCAGGTAAGATAATGTGAGTATGTGACTTAGTAAGTGCTTATTTGGGTAAGCATTTGGTAAACGATCCCTTACAATAAAAATTAATATCAAGAAATCTTTTGAGTGGTATGCAAATTTTCATTTCTAATTGCTAATTATTATAAAAATGTAACCAAATTTTAAGTTTTTTTTTTCTTAAGTAGCAAGGTTTCAAAACTTCTACTTCATACCCATTTGGACCACAATTGAAGGTAGAGGTGGCCAAAAATCGGTCCCGGGCCGGGCCATAACCGGTTACGGCCGGTCCCGATCAAGACAAAAACGTGTCATAACCGGTCCCTCTATAACCGGTCCCAGTTCCGCTGAAATCCTCCATAACCGGTCAAGCTTACCGGTAACGGGTTAAGCCGTCCGGTCCCCGTTCCGGTCCCATAACCGGTTACGACCGGTCCTTTGCAAAAAAATATTTTTTTTTAAAATTTTTGGTAATTAAAAATTTTATAATATGTTATTAATATCTTTGAAATATGTTATTTTTAATATGTTTTATTATAAATACGTTTTAAAATACGTCTTGTTATATATATACGTTTAATTTTATAAGTACGTTTTCTTATATATATATATATATATATATATATGTTTAATTTTATAAAAACGTTTTGTTATATATATATATATATATATAGGTAGAGGTTCAAACGAGAACCCCTGTGATTTACGAGAACGCGAGAATAACCCAATAACCTTAAACTTTTTTAATTAATAAATTAACTTTTATTATATATAAATAATTTAATAAGGACAATAATGTAATTAAGTAATTTTTATAATTTTTATTTTATTTTAATTAACCATAATTATCCTTTCACGTTCCAYRTTTTASTCTTGGTAGTTTTYTTCTTCTCCTTCGTTCATGCTTCTTCTCCTTCTCGTTCATGATAATCTCCAGATAGTCGATGGCTTAACATCTTTTCTTCATATCACACCCCTATCACATAAGTATCACACCCATATCACATGATTATCACACCCATATTACATGATTACACGAAAATTTTAACTTATCAACCAACACAATAACCCAAGTGATGTATAACAGTGATTATCACACCCCTATCACATGATTATCACACCCAAATCACATGATGACACCAAAATTTTAACTTATCAACCAAAACRTTAACCCAAGTGATGTATAACGGTGATTATCACACCCCTATCACATAAGTATCACACCCATATCACATGATTATCACACCTTTATCACATGATTACACCAAAATTTTAACTTATCAACCAAAACGATAACCCAAGTGATGTATAATGGTGATTATCACACCCCTATCACATGATTATCACACTCACATGATTATCACACCTAGTATAATCCTAACCTATCGAAACCATTCGAAATCGTTGTGATAATGTCTAACATAACCAATTGAAACCATGATGAAATCGAGTGACATTGATATCACATGAGTATCACAACTAATCGATTAAAAACTTATTCAAAACGAGTAGTTTTGAAAGATACCTTGAATTTGTCCGCTTGTTGCATGCAATGGCTTCTCGATTAGGGTTCTTGGTCGATTAGGGTTGCGTGTTCTTGGTTGATCACCGTCGATCAATATTTGCTTCCTTAGGTTGTTTTTGCGATTTGAAGTTATGAGTCTCTTTGAATTCGTAACCATTTACTAGATAATGATAAAACTAATGATAATAATGATCGTGTTTAAAAGATAATGATCGTGTTTAAAAGATTTGATGATATCATTTCCGTTATTGCCCTTTTAATTTTTTATTTATTTGAATCTGTTTCAATTTCAATTTTAAAATTTTTTTAGTTTTTATCACAATATGTGGTTATTGGGTTGTTCTCGCATTCTTGTAAATCACAAGGGTTCTCGTTTGAACCCTTCCCTATATATATATATATATATATATATATATATATATGTTTGTAATATGTTATTTTTAATATGTTTTATATAAATACGTTTAAAAATATGTTTTGTTATATATATATATA